TGCCATGTGCCTCCCCCATCCTCACCCTGGGGCTGCCTCTAATTTGCCCGACAGTCTTTCCTATGCTGTCTCCTAGAAAGCAGGGGTCTCACTGAACTTATTCTGTACATCAAAGTATTTTTTTTTTTTTTTGAGACAGAGCCTCAAGCTGTCCCCCCTGGGCAGAGTGCAGTGGCATTACAGCTCACAGCAACCTCCAACTCCTGGGCTCAAGCGAGTCTCCTGCCTCCGCCTCCCAAGTAGCTGGGACCACAGGCACCCGCCACAACGCCCGGCTATTTTTTGGTTGCAGCCGTCGTTGTTTGGCGGGTCCGGGCTGGGGATTCGAACCCACCACCTTAGGTGTACGTGGCTGGCGCCTTAGCCGGTTGAGCTATAGGCGCCGAGCCACATCAAAGTATTTTAAACACAGAGGTTTTCTTTTTGAAGGCTCTAAGCAGCCACCTTTTTGAAATGTAGAGTTATTTGATTCTTGGTAGCAGTTTAAGCCACTTCACAAGGGACCTTACTACATTGGGCCCTGGGGGATGTCACTCTCAGAGGAAGTTATGTCTACTTGGAATCGTTTCGTCTTGTCCTCAGACATTGGCTGGACAGCCACATTGGGGCCAGGCTTCCTGCTTGTTAGTGAAGACATGAAGATAACAGATGTGGCCTTCAGGGAGCTCCTGGTCTGGGAGAAGACAGGCACACAGAAGTCACCCCCTATAGAGGACAAATGCCCAGGGTGTGCACGAAGTCCTCTGGGGAGCAGAACAGCGGGAGAGGTCAGCTTTTCCTGGGAGTCATGAGGCTTATAGGAGGAGCCAGTGTGGAAACTGAATGTGTCCCCAGAAGGGGACTGGCATAGGCCAAGGGGCAGAGGCCTGGCTAGTTGGGGATGGCCTCAAGTCTGACCTACAAGACTGCAGAGTGTGGAGGAGATAGTAGGAGCTCAGGCCTGAGTAGCACTTGGAACCAACCCATAGAGGGCCTGGCTAGTGCTCAGATGTTCTGGAGGACATTGGGACTCCTCTGAGAGGCCATAAGGAGAAAAGGGACGTGCTTGGCTTTATTCTGGTCTAGAACCCCTTTTCTTGGGTCTGTCAGGAAATGGAGAGATTCTAACTGGGTTCCCTCAGAGCATAAGACCATGCAGGAGGCATGGACTGATCAGCCCTGGCACTTTGCCTCAGTCTTCCCCAATGGCAACATCCCTGGCCCAGGCCTTCCTTCTCAACAGAGATCCTAAATAGAAGGTTACTCACCCCAAGGGGAGAGCCAATGATGGGCCATGGTGAGCCCATCAAAAAGAAACCCAATGGGGGCAGTGCCTGTGGCTCAAAGGAGTAGGGCGTTGGCCCCATATCCCAGAGGTGGTGGGTTCAAACCCAGCCCTGGCTAAAAACTGCAAAAAAAAGAAAAAGAAACCCAATGGTAGAATGGAGAATACCCGGAACTACCACCATATAATGGCCTCAGTTTTGGAATCAGAGAAGTAGGGATGCAAATGAATGAGTCTGGGAGCTGCAGGGAGGGGAGGGTCAGAAGGTCCTCAGCCCTTCAGATGTCCTGCCCACCCCTCCAAGCTAACTGTGCCCCATCCCTCATCCTTCCTACAAAGAAATCCATTGATTCCTGAAAGCAAGTGTGGCCTGGACAGACAAATAATAGGAACAAGTTTAGCTATATGGGCAGCAAAAAATTCTAGTCCCCCCAACCAGGAAGTGGAGACCTGTATAAATGTCAAAGGGTGAGTTGCTCACTCTCACACACTCTCTCACACCCCCTCTGTCTCCTCCAGGGGATATTTGTTTTATCCCCAGGACAAATACTGCAGACATGTATTTCACCCCAGGAACAGGGTAGATGGAATTACTTAGACACTGTCAGTCCCAGCCCCTGCAGTACAGCTTACTTTTCAGTCTGATGAAAGTCTTTAGCTTGTTGAGTCCCCTATAATCATGAAATATTAAGCACACAACCATGCTGCCCTTTAAATTAATTTATGAACTTAAAGAAATGCCTTTGGAACCCCTCTTCATAGACACCTGGCCCTCAAGTGCCACATAAAACAATCACTTGGCTGGTGCATGGTATATTTTCCACAACTCTCATCCAATCTGCTCCATATATGTTTAAAATGAACACTGAGATTGGGGCTGTGAAACCACCATTAGGTGGAGGCACTGGCTAGCCAGTAAGGGCAGGGAGCCCGAAGTCTGGGGAGGTCCACTGCATGATCAGACTTTCCATGTCTGAGTCCTTGCAGAGGAGTCGGCTGTTGTGGGTGCAGAGCCAGCTTCACACTTTTGGGTGCATTTGAATTCTCATCAAATCCCAGCCTCTGAGCCCACACTGTCTAGCAGGTCCAAGGAAGAAGTTGGCCAGCCAAGCAGGGCTAGATATGCTGGCTATCATAAAAACAGACTCCAGAGGCTGTATAGGCAGTGTGCAAACAAGGACAGGAATGGACAAGGGTTGACCACAGAGTGGACTTCACATGGCACTAGCCATGAAGTTGGCTGTGGTTGGCAGGGGTGGTGAGTGACTACAAATTGGGCTGTCTGGTGTCAGAGCTGTGAAATGCAACACGGGCTGGCAGTGGCCATGGTGCTGGTTTATCCCTAGTGACCATTCTGAGGCCAGTGGGTTTTTCAGATAATCAGATCACAGATCCCACCTTCTAGTTCCGATGAATTATAGGTTATTTTCCACTGTCCGGCCCCCCCACCCCATTGTCATTCTCAGAGTAAACCCACCACCTGTGACAGGGCTGTCTGCTTGCTAAACCCATGCATCACACTTCTTGTCTGGGTCTGGGCAGCTCCCATTTGTGCTAATCAAGTTAGGAAGCCCCTTCTCTTGCATACCCCACTTCAATGGCTCCCTCAGTTGCCAGCTGCACACTGGAGTCCCAGAACCCTCTAAACTGATCCCAGGAGATAAGATGCTATCAGTTCCTCCTCCGGATGATCCAGCAGACAGCATTTCCATGGAGCCTAAGTGCAAATATCTTGGGCTCCACCAGCTCAGGGAAGCAGGGGCTGATTTGAGCCATAAATCCCAGCTGGAAAAGCCTTCCTTTCACCCTCAGACCCCTCCTCCATTAGCTTTGCCCATTTACTTAACTTCTTGGGAAAGAAATAAAGAGAAATCAAAGCTCAGGCTGTAGCCGTCCATTTAACCAGAAACAATGAATGCCCTTTAAAGAGAAAAAGAATATTGATCTAAAGAAGAGGCGCTTCTAGCTCAAAGGAATTTATCCCTGGGGCATTATTTTATTTTATTTATTTATTTTAGATATAGAATCTCACTCTGTCACTGTGGGTAGAGTGCTATGGCATCACAGCTCACAGGCATTCTTTTAGAATAAGGTGGAACACCTGACCGCGTATAACCTGTAGTCACCAAATTCAAACTTCGGTTTAATGGGGAGTACATGGGAGTACTTGTCTTCCTTTAGGCTTGGGAATACCAGTTGATAGATTTAGCAATTTGGTTTTTATTTAAGTATTTAAACATTTTTATTGCTAAGCATTATGGTTCAGAGTCTTAAAGGTACCTCACAGGTAACAGCTCTGTTTAAGGACAGAGTTTTTTTTTTGTTTTTTGTTTTTTTTTTGAGACAGAGTCTCAAGCTGTGGCCCCGGGTAGAGTGCTGTGGCGTCACTGCTCACAGCAACCTCAAACTCTTGGGCTTAAGCAATCCTCTTGCCTCAGCCTCCCAAGTAGCTGGGACTACATGTGCCCACCACAATGCCCAGCTATTATTTGGTTATAGTTGTCATTGTCATTTGGCGGGCCTGGGCTGGATTCGAACACCAGCCTCAGTGTATGTGGCTAGTGCCTTAGCTACTTGAGCTACAGGCACTGAGCCAAGGGCAGAGTATTTTAAGAGTTATAAACCTGTGATATATATTCTCCCACTTCTTGAGGTGGTTGTTTTCATACCCATATTACAGATAAGGCAGTTGGGGCTCAAAGAGGTAAAGGAAGTTGCCTAAGGCCACGCAGTTAGTGTGTGGATAGTGGGAATACTAGCACTTGTGATAAAACTTAATAGCACACTTGCCTCTCTTTGAGATTCTTGAGTTAGATGCCAAAAGTAGGTTTTGTTTAAGAAATTCTATCTCTATTAAAAGCTAGTGCTGCCCAGTACTAACATTAAATTATTTAATTTTTACTTTTTTATTTTTTTGCTTTTTATTTTTGTTTGTTTCACTTTTTATTTGTTTTTAATAAAGCTTTCTTCATTTGCTTGTTTATTTAATACAAATTGTTTGGGACTTGTAATAACAAAAGCATCTCCTGAATGCTTCCTCTGAGCCAGACACAGTGTGTCTTTGTCTGACACATCAGCTCATTCTATCCTCCTGATCACCCATTCTATGGAGGTGCCATGCTCCTCCCTACTATACATATGTGGAAAATGAGGTTTAGGGGAGTTAAATAGCTTGCCCAAGTTCACAGATGTAGTCAAGAGTTCAAACCCAGGCAGTCTGGCTGTCCAGAGGCTGTGTGCCATGGACAAAGAAGTGGCAGTCTCTCACCCTCAACACAGGGTCCTGGGCAGACAATCGGGCTCTGGCTCCTGACATTGCCATCCCTTTCCTCTTTGGTACTGGCTCTGTTAATGCATGTGTGTGTGAGCATGTAAGCATCTGCATCTATAAAGATGTGTATATGAACATGTATAGCCATCAAGATTGATGTGAATAAACAAATGTGTATTTGGGATGCTTCTGAACTCAGAACATCCCAACAACATCCCAAAAGGAAGTCAAAGAAACAGTTCTTCTATGTCCAGCAAAATGCCACATAGAGATGAATCCCTTTGGCAGGGCGGAAGAGATTTACAACAGCGTTTTATAAACATGGATATGTCCCCACACCCACCCTGGCCAGGAAATGCCAGGCCTTAGGAGGGTTTTGTACAGATAACCTTCCCTCACAGGCAGATAGACTCTCAGGATTTGAGCCCCTCCCCACTCACTGCCCCAGCCCTGGCACACCCTTACCCGGCAGTACTCATCAATGGGCTTCAGCCTCTTCACAGCTACATCCCGGATGTGACTTCTCCGGAAGAGGATCTTGCCTGGAAAAGAAGTACGCAAAAGCGGGTGATTCTGGCTGAAATTGCCACAGGGACCCTCTCGTTGCCCTCTCTGCCTTGGCTCTCAACATCTTAGCTGGCCACTGTCAGAGAAACAAGAGAGGAGCAGTCACCTCTCTTGGGGGGCAGGAGATGCCCAAGGTTGAAGGCCCAGGGCCTCTCTGGCAGGTGAGGAGCCCTGGAGACTGCCATCTTAGGCTTCTATGAACAACTTGGCCAAATCACCTTGTCTGGATCTAATGGCAGGATCAATGCCCCTGCGTGGGGCTGGCTCTCCAGTGACTTGGCAAATAAAGTATGGCCCAACCTACATGCTTTGTTTTGTTGTCAGGCCCATCCCTCCTTGAGAAATCGGCATTCATTCCTCCCAGCCCAGAAGGAATTCCTATTCTTAGTTTAGGTGGTGGCTATTTCCAGGGCGGGCATAAGCCAATGCCAAGGGAAGCATGGCTGCCCCAGTCTGATCTCTCTATGCATGTGGTCTCCAGCCATATGGACCACAGCCAGCCAGGCTAGAGTACCCTTCCATAGGTATGGGCAAGCCTTACAGGAAAATGGCAGCCCCTAAGACCTCCCCGCTAGTCTCTTCCAAGCTAGCCACATTTAATCATAACAACTACAGCAATGCACAGTTCTTTTCCAGTCTGTGAAATTTAGAATCTAAACTCCTTGGTCTGACATTCAAGGGCATTACACACTGACTTCTGTGCCTAGTGGCTATAAATGTCTAGGGCCAATGCCATCTTTTCAGAAGGCCTTCCTTGACTGCCCAAGCTGGGAGTGATGTTCCTCTTTCCAGAACATCCATAACATATTGTCCATTCCTAGGGCGCTCACCACATTCTTCAGAATGTGATAGCATTTGTGTCTCTCTGGAGATCATGGAGCCTGGCACATGATGAAGTGCTCACTATCATAGGCATCTGTTGCCCTAGGCTGCCCAATCTCCCTTTAAAGAAGGCCTCCTCCATCCCTAGTTCTTGTGGCATCAGTAGAGCTAATCACAGCCCTGGCAACAAGGGTAGGCATGTGATACAGAGTAGTCAACTAGAGTCATGGTGATTGGCTCAGGGATGGGTAGGGACCCGATCTGGGCCAATGAGATTCAGTCCTGAGACTTCTTTCTATCACAGTTGCTAAGCTGGCAAGATGAAAGTCTGATGCCTCTAGTGGCCAACTTTATTATTGCTTGAGAAAACAATGGAATGAGAGAAAGGAACTGTGCCTGGCACAAGGTAGGGACTCCATAAAAGGTTGTTTGGTTTTTTTTTTTTTGCCACCCCATAAAAGCTTTTTGAATGATTAAACAGCAAAGCTGAGAAATGGTCAGGGACAGATTCCTTTGACATCATTTCAGCAGCTGGATATAGTTGTTCCTGAACCTACGGTCTATCTGGTACTTTTCACTTGTATAAAACAATGAAATCGCTCCCCAACCTTTTATTTTTTGAGACAGAATCTCACTCTCTTGCCCAGGCTAGAGTGCCATGGGCCTTAGCCTAGTTCACAAAAACCTCAAACTCCTGGGTTCTAGTGATCCTCCTGCCTTAGCCTCCTGAGTAGCTGGGACTATAGGCTTCCACCATAATGCCTGGCTCATTTTTCTATTTTTAAAGATGGGATCTTATTCTTGCTCAGCTCAAGCAATCCTCCCACCCTGACCTCTCAGGCCCCCTTTTATTTGAACTATATTTATCACTTGCATTAAAGGGATCTTAATTCAGATAATTTCCATTGCATGTGAACAAATATGTCAATTGCAGCTGCATCTGCCAAGGTGAAGTACTGAGAAAGGACCTTCACCTTCTTTGTTGTCGCCCTAGATGCAGCCCCAGAAACAAGGATTTGAATGCAAGTTGTTTATCTGAGAGGAAATCACAGCAAATACTAGTAGGGGTATGGGGAAATCAGGTAGGCAAGGGAAGGAAATATTAGGCAGCCAGTTGGTCTTCGTGGGCAACTGGGGCTCAGTCTTATCAGGGAACTCAGGAAGATGATGCAGAACACCCCTCACAGGCATCCCAACTAAGGGAGGGGAGATTGAGGAGGCTGGGGCATTTACCCACCAGCCCCCTGCCTGTGCTTGGGGGCTGCTTCCAAGAGCATTGACTCTGGCACTTCTGGCCAAGTGTGCCCCTCCACTGCTGGCACAAAGCCCTCAGGCAGAGGTGAATGGTGAGGGGACTCATAAGGCACGAAAGCAGCTGCTGCAGCCATCCCTGACTTCCCTGCCACCACAGTCACTGGTCATCAGCCCTGCTGAAGTCTAACAGTGGAACACCCACTGTGTCTCATCCTGTGTGAGTGTCTTGTCTCCCCACAACCAGTTGGCACCTCATTCTCAGGTCTGCTCCCCACACTCCATCTAACACTGGGGTTTTGCACTCCCAGGGGCTCAGAGAGTACTCTCTGGTTCACTTGCCGGCCTCTCCTAGACTCTTGCCCACCCTCTCCTTCCTCTCTTTCTCTCTGGAGTCAGAGAGCGGGGCCATCTCCCTGTCACAGACAACACTGTGCAGACTGAACGATGGTGTCAAGTTGGAGAGGCTCTGCCACGTGTTCCTTTCGAAAGGAGATAAAACGTGACTTATCAAGACGTGGGAGACGTTGCTTTTCCTTGGGGGAAGATGTCACAGATTTGGTATTCCTGCCTCTTTGCCTCTGACCCTTTTTTGGTTGACTGTCGCTTTATTGCTCATGTGCCACAGGGGCATATGTGTGCGGCATGGAGACCTGCTTTCAGGACTGACAAGATGATGGGTGGCCCTGGGGCTGCAATTCTGGGCCTTCTTCCTAAGCCAGCTATCTGTCAGGAGCTGGAGGGCACCCAGACCCACTGGTCAAGCAGTAGAAGGACCCTGAAGGACCATCTAAGAAATAGGGATTCTCAGGGAAGACTATAGGAGGAGTCAGAGCCCAGCACCTGCACGGAGCAGGGGCCTCATCCTCCCAAATGGCACTCTGGCCCTTTCTCATCCCGTCAGAGGACAAAGAGAAAAGGAGGGAGATAGAGAGACAAATGGGGTCCCCTCCCAGCCTCCCATCTCTGATGTTTGGCAGCAGCAGCCAAACAACTGGCTGAGTCTTACATCTCCTAAATATAGATATCACTCCTGATCCAACGGCACAGAACTAGTAAAAAGAAAAAAGCCAAGGAACACTGACGGGCTCCACAGGTAAAGAAGTTCAGAGAAGGGAGCGTTGGGGTGAGGCAGGGAGGCAGGTGGGAGGGCTCTGCCTGAGTCCTCACCCACATTGGCTCCTGCACACCGGACCCCAGACTCACCCCTTGAGCCCACTCTCTGAGGGTGAGGCCACCAGGCCACAGGATTGACGCCCCCCAATCCCTTCCACAAGACTCGTGCGTCTGCTGCTCAGCTGTGAGGTCAGAGGAGAATTTTTGTATGAGCCAATTCCCAGTTGATTTTTTGGAACCCAATAGGGCTTCCCTCCTTCCTACTGAAATCCTGACAGGAGCAACGTTTTCTTTTCCTTGGGCTTTGGCACCATCAGCCAAGGAGGGGAAGAGGGAGGGGAGCCCTGGAAGGGGTTCTCCAGCCTTGACTTCTCTGTTAGGAAGCCAAACCGCACTCTGAAAGCCAAACCGGTGACCGTATTAAAAAGGGAGAGAGAAAAAAGGAGGAGGAGGAAAATCCCCATTAAGGAAGCTGAGACCACAGGGCATTAAAGGCCTCTCGCAAATGTAATTCAGCCCGTTTACTGCGAGTCAGGGCTTCTACTCCAGCCTTCACAGCCACACAGACAAGGATCGTAAGGAAGAAAGACCACATGGGCATGAGACAGACCTAGCTGCTCAGGACTTAACTCATTCCTGAAAGCCGAGAAGAAAGCTGTGGAGCTGGTGGCGTGGGAACACAGGTGGAGGCCTCTCTTCCTCCCACCCTGGGCTGAGCTGAGAAGGCAGAACCAGCAAGGAGCAGTGGTGAAAGCCCAGGGTCCAGGTCCTGCTGGGGGCTTAGGGGTTGGCTGTGCAATCCTGGGGCAGGTGCTGCCTCTAGTGGGGCCTCTGCATTCCCATCTGGGCCTGGGCTGCTCCCTCCAGGGGCTCTGAGATGGATTTACAGCTGGGTGAGGCTGGGACATAAATAGGAAAAGGAGAGGAGAGAAAAGGCGTAATAGGAGCCAAATGCTCCCAGCCTGCTCCGGGCACATGCTAGGAGCTCTCTACTGGGTCCTCCTGCTTAATTCTCTCAACAACCTGGAGGTCAGTACAATGACTAGGTCTGTTTTGCCTAGGAGGAGCTGGTGGCTCAGAGAGGCTGAAAAACTGTCTAAAAGTCCACAGTGGAGTGGCTGAGTTGGGGTTTAACCTGGGTTTATTAAGTTTGGTGAATGAGGGAAGAGTGTAGGCAACAATCCAGAGAGTTCTTTGGGCTTGGATCATGTAAGGCCTTGAGAGCCACTGTGGACTTTGGGTTTTATTCTATATGTGAAGGGAGCTGAGAGCAGTTAGACCCCTAGGCTGGTCTCAGCCTCCAGGGCCCTCCTTGTAAAAAGTGGTGCCTACGGGTCCCCCATGAGGGGCCCAGGGGCTGTGCAAGAGCTGAAACACCAGGCACACTGGGCTCCCACTGGCCGGGACCCCCCCACCCTAGCAACTTGCACCACCTAGGTATGTGTTCTTACAAATGGGCTAGCACCCATTTGCACAGAGCTAACAGGAGGACACTGACTTCAGGGGTGATAAGAAAGGGCTAGCCAGGGCAGTGCTTGTGGCTCAGTGAGTAGGACGCTGGCCCCATATACCAAGGGTGGCTGATTCGAACCCGGCCCTGGCCAAACTGCAACCAAAAAATAGCTGGATGATGGGGTGGGCACCTGTAGTCCTAGCTACTCGGGAGGCTGAGGCAAGAGAATCACCTAAGCCCAAGAGCTGGAGGTTGCTGTGAGTTGTGATACCACAGCACTCTACCGAGGGCAACAAAGTGAGACACTGTCTCCAAAAAAAGAAAGGGCTAGCC